TCGCGGGAGATCCAGACGGCCGTGCGGCTGCTGCTGCCTGGCGAGCTGGCCAAGCACGCCGTCTCCGAGGGCACCAAGGCTGTCACCAAGTACACCAGCTCCAAGTAGGGCGTCTCGGACCGTCACTTTCAACCCAAAGGCTCTTTTAAGAGCCACCCATATATTCAGTAAAAGAGTCTGTCACACTAATTACTTTCGGTGAGTGGTACTTGTAATTGGTCCTGGTTTAGTTCCCAGGTTAGGAAGTGCTGTTAAAAGAGTAGGGAAAAATGTTTATCCTGTTTACTGGGAAAGATTTGGGTCGTCTTGTGAGTCCTATTCTGACAGGCTGTTTGCCAGGTCTATAAAAGGAATGCTAAGCGCCTAATCGAGTTTTAAAGCTGTTTGTTTTCCTTCCTCCTTTTAAGAGTATTTATATCTGTTCTAATTATTTACAACGACAGTCTTGTCTCAGTGCAGTTAATACTTTTTTTTTTCCTAATAAAATATCGTTGTCCCCTTTAAATATTAGATGTCATCCTCAAGTGACTTGGCTGCAAGCCAAAGCAGCTTGTTTACGCAGGACAGTCTTTAGGGATTAGTCTGTGATATTTGCAAGGGAATGTTTAATGAAATCTATGCCTCCGAGCACAGCAGAAGTAAAAACGGTATAGAGAACAGTATAATTCACTAGCTCCTCAGGTTTCATAAGGGAGTGGCGTACCTTTTATTGTATCCCGTGGAGCATAAGCGCGGGAGAATTAAGGGGTTTCTAAGTAACAACATAATAGGAAATTACAAGTTAAAATAAGGGACACTTAAAAAAAACCAAAACCGAAAAAACCAAACTAAACCAAATAAAAAATATTACCAAAGGTGAGCGCTTTATCGCACTTGAAGTTGCTCGGGTTGCACAGGGAAGGCTGTTTTTAAGAAAACGCCTTTTACGAGGGAACTTGAATCCTGGGTGTCCCGAACAGAGGCCGCGATAAAAGCGTTTGCTGCGGGGTGAAAACTCGGCTGCCCGGTTACAGCTGTGGCACCGCGTCCGGCTGCCTCCGGCCCCGCTCCACCGGGCGGAGCTGCAAGAGATGAGAAGAGGGAGCGCGGTCGCTTCCAGGGAGGGAGGGAGGGAGGGAGGGAGGGAATTGCGGAGCGGGGACCGGCAGCTGCTCCCGCCCATCCCTCTTCCCACTGCGCGGGCTTTTCGAATCCTTCCCCCTGTCCAATGGCAGCCAGGTCTGCCTTCGCGCTGGCCAATCACAGAGCGGGGATGGCTATAAATAGAGTCCCCCGCGGCTGCCTCCTGCACAGGGATTGCTTTCTGGTCTGCAGGGGCTGCTCCGCGGAACATGGCGCGCACGAAGCAGACGGCGCGTAAGTCGACGGGCGGGAAGGCGCCCCGCAAGCAGCTGGCCACCAAGGCGGCCCGCAAGAGCGCGCCGGCCACGGGCGGCGTCAAGAAGCCGCACCGCTACCGGCCCGGCACGGTGGCGCTGCGCGAGATCCGCCGCTACCAGAAGTCCACCGAGCTGCTGATCCGCAAGCTGCCCTTCCAGCGCCTGGTGCGCGAGATCGCGCAGGACTTCAAGACCGACCTGCGCTTCCAGAGCTCGGCCGTCATGGCGCTGCAGGAGGCCAGCGAGGCTTACCTGGTGGGGCTCTTCGAGGACACCAACCTGTGCGCCATCCACGCCAAGCGCGTCACCATCATGCCCAAGGACATTCAGCTCGCCCGCCGCATCCGCGGAGAGCGCGCTTAAACTTCATCAAACGGATCTTTCAGACCATCGAAAACCCAAAGGCTCTTTTAAGAGCCACCACATGGCCACTAAAAAGAGCTGTAAACTCGTAGTCATGCATAGGAAGTAGTGTGTTTACCTGTGTTTCGGGTGGCTTTACGTTAAGCGAGATCTGACACCTCAGGTAAGTACTAAACAGAATAAATTACGTGTCAAAGGAGTTAAATCGTGACTGTAGCATTAAGCGGTATAGCCTGCTGAGGTGATTGTGCTAGGCCAAATCTTCGTTCAGGGTGGAAATTGCTTTCTACACGTTTTTCCAGATACTTATATTTTGGCTGTTAAGGAAAATGTAATCCATTGGCTTTCCTTTTCTGAAGGGGAAGATACTCAGCTGGAATATGTATTTTTTTATCCGTTCAGCTGCGTGTCCGTAAAGCTTTCGTAAAAACTGCCTGAATTCATAAAGGGGTGGACCTTTACAGAATTCTGCGGTCATGACTAGAGAATTTAGGTTTGTTGTAAATGCTTTCTGCTGTGCTGCGTATACTTTATGTTCTCATGGTAACGTTACAGCTAGTTTTCCTTTCCAAACATTTTTTTATTGTTGTTTTTGGAGGACTCTGGGGGCTTGGGTTTTTTCGGAAGCTGCAAGAAGTCCTTTCCCGCCTTTCCTGGAAGGGCACTTGGTCAGTAGTTTTTCCAGTATTTTATCACTCCTAGTCTCTGTCGTGAGCGACGTCTCGCGGGCATTTTTAGCCCTTCTCAAGCACTCACATTTATTCCGAGATAAATGTATTTCCAAAGAGTTGGGGCAGGGCAAAGGCAAGGGTATTTTCTGCGAGTCACGTTTTATGAGTTGTGCTTTTTCCTAGTATCTTCTCTAGGACACACTCGTGGCATCCTTAATGTTTCTGAATATCCTGTATGAATTATTAGAGATGTCAGTTTAGATCAATTTTCTCCATCACTGTTGAGGCTCTCGAAAAGATTTTCTGAAGTTACCACAGAGGAAGTGTTTTCCAAGGAGTATCTGTGACTAAAAACTTATCAGGTCTAGAATTATTTTTAAATTGAGACTCTTCCTTATCTGTTGTATTCAGTGTTTTTTGCGATCCTACCTGGAAAACATATTTTTCCCTGACTGTAAATTCAGTTGGACATCCCCTTGCTCTCCTGCTTGATAGATCTACAGTTGGTGACTGAAAAAAATTACATTTCCAAAATAATTTCTGACTTTACTTAGCCTTTCTTTTCGTTTGTTTGGGGTTTTTTGTTGTTGTTCTGTTTTTTTGTTGGTTTTGTTTGTTTGATGTTTTTTGTTTGCTGGTTTGGTTAGTTTGTCTGTTTTAATACTGCAGGTCGTTTTGTATAATTTAGGGACCTTCCTGTTTCATTGAATTATTGGAAGTAATGCCCTTTTCTCTGCTACAAAACAGTACCTGTGCCTTTAAGAAGCGGTTGGATTGAGTTGAACACAGCCCTCATTTTAACTCGGAAACAAAGAGTCCCCGAGAATTGCTTAGAGGAAATATTTCTTCTGAAAAGCGTAAAACCTGCAAGACTCTTAGTTCTCTCTTAACTGCTGATACGCTTCATCTTATTAATTTTCCTTTCTCTGTGTCAGGAACTTGGACTCTGCAGCAAAATCTGACCAATCAAGTGCCTCGACACACCATTTTCTTTCTTCCTGTTTTCTCACTTTCAGCCATTTTCTGATACTTAACCTCGGAGGGATAAAAGGGAGGGGGGAAGGTATAGGGAATAGTGCTTTGAGGATTAAGAAGTCTCTGCTCTGATTTATTCATCCCACCACATTTGTTCGTTGACACAGGACTTGTATTTTTCGGTACAGATTTTTGTTTTCTTTGAGTAGAATACCAATGGGATTACAGCAATGAATTTTAGTGAAAACAAACTCATTTCCTATTACTGTCTGTCATAGACAAAGATCTGTTTATTAATCTGAACCTGTTTATATATGCTTATAATCAGAAATGCAATAAATCAATTAAAAGTAAGCCAGTGGTCAAAACATTTGGGTCAAAAATTATGCACTTTTTTTTTTCCATGTGCAAGATATAAATTATTTTTGAGGAGTGAGATGGGGAAACAGGTTTTATTTTCCTTAATCTCTCTCATTTTTTTCATCTAGTCTTTTCAAGATCTCAGACTGTTAATGAATAAAGTATTATTGGGACTCATTCAGAGAGTTGCATGCTTGAATTGTAAAAAACACTTAACACTCCCATCAGCTGAGAAAAAACCCAGATGTGCAGTGAGCTTTTTTTCAGGAAGGGAGAGCTCATATAAACCCTAAATTATAATGTCTAAGTCTGAAGTAGTTTTGGGGTGTATTATAAAAGGGTGTAATTTACACATAGGTGACTTAGTGCAAGACTTCATCACTCAAAGTGAGAATAAAAGTGGAGGTCCCTCTTGTGCCAGCAAGGTTTAGCTGCATTTCTGTGCTTTTTGCAGGAGAGCCTGAGATAAATGGATGCTTCCAAGTAGAAGCTGGATGTGAGCAAGACCTGTGTGCTGACCAGCTGGGCATTGACTTGTAAATTGCTGTTGGTACTCAGGTAAGATGCTTTTACAGGTGATCTTGGATGCTCAGCAACATACTTGGCTAAGACTGTTCTGGTCTCTTTAGTCATCCTCCATGGATGAACTGACTCAAATTCAAATCACTGCATGGAAAAATGTACTTCCTGACAGTCCAATGGGTAAGATACAGCATAGCTACTGAGGTCCTGGTGAAATACTTCATTTCATCAGAAATACATAAGAGAAGGTCTGATGAAAGTATCTTTCTAGAACCAAAATATTTGAATCAGTCCTGCCTGGCACCTATTAGTTTCTGAAAAAATCTGAATAGATATATCCATATGAAAAAGAGATGAGATTTTAGTTTCAATTACCTATTGTAATGTACATATTTTGTAAAGGTGATATGGAGGTGGTTTCCATTCAAGCCAGTATGCAAAGATAGTTCCTTAACATGTTTTCATTTGCAAATCCCTCTTGTGGAATCACCTATTGGTTACAGTCTTCAGTAATCACAAGCAGTGAAATCTGAGCTTAGCCAGCCTCAGCTCTCCTACAAGCCTGGCCAGTACTGCCCTGCTGCATCATTGCCTCTCTCTTCTTTCCCACTTTTGATTCATGTTGTATCTTCAAGCTAGATATAAGCAGGTTTCAGAATGCAGATGTGCAAACAACATTGTCGAAACAGTATGAACATTTGTTAAGATTTCGTATTATGTATCAGAAAGTACTTTGTCAGATACTGTTGCCATGGATTTAGTTGTACTGGCCACAACAACTGGGTCTGATCCTAGGATCCTGTTAATTAATGCACTCTTCTAAGTGAAGGTTTCCAATTTGTCTTTTATTAGTTCTCAGCTTACAACTTGAGCTGGGTGGATCTGGAGAGTGACCATTACACCAGAAATTATCCCTCAATCACACATGTACCACCCAGCAGTCCACTTAAGTCCATCACTTGTTCCTGGTCAGTTGTGTCTTGATTTTTATTTTTTTTAATTGATTTTAACTGCTGTGTAGGTGTCTTTTGTCTGACATTATCTCAGTCCTTGGAATTGCTTCTTTAGTCCTTCCTTACCTTTTTCATTCTGCTTTTGGCTAGTTGTATATTAGCAACATTAGTTTTTCAACAAAAACTTTTCTTTTTGTCAGCTCTTGTGGCCTAATGCAACAACCACTTCAGCTATTTGTGCTAAGCCACTAGTACTTCATGAGACTATGGAGAAAGAAGAACACAGTTAATAAAATTTCCTCTGTAAGACCATGAAGCAACAGAAAATGGAAAGCTCTGTTCTCAGTAAGCTGATAGAGCAATAATAGGGACTAGTAATAAAAAAACCAACAAATTAGAGGAACATAATATATAAAAACAATGCAAAAAAAGTTTGAATTAAAACCATTTGTACATAAAAAATGTAAGCCCAACTGGTTGGAGGTCTCAGCCCCAAACTGCAATGACAGATAGTTCAGTGAAACAAATCCTACAGCTCCAGGGACACTGGGGCTGCAAAAGACATATCCCAACATTGCTACTTCCACACTATTCTCACCTGTGCCACCCACGGTGCCCTGCACCTCAGTCTAAAGCTGCTTTTAGGTTTGCCTTCAGGTTCAAAGAGCCACAAAGCCTAGAGCTCCAGGGACACTGATGCTGCAAAAGGCATGACAAGGGGAGCATGGCACTGCCCCAGCATTGCTTTCTCCTCACTTTTCTTATCTGGACCACCCACTATGTTTTGGGTCAGCGTTAATGTTCAGAGCTCCACACACAGTGAGGCTGCAAAAGGCATGCCAAGAGGAGCATGACACTGCCCCAACACAGCTCCTTCCACATCTTTCCCATCTAGGCCATCCATGGCGCTGCACACTTCAGTCTTAGCCAATGACTGCCTTTAGGGCTAGGGTTAGGGTAAGGTTTCAGAGTCACAAACCTAGAATTGCAGGGACACTGGGGCTCCAAAGAGCTTGCCAAGGGGAGCACAGCACTGCCCCAACATTGCTCCCTCCACACCTTTCTCATGTGTGCTTTTTCAAGTTTTCATATATCGACACTGTATGGCTTCAGTTCCATTTCTATCTTTCACACTCTTTTATCTCTAAGCACTGAGATTTTGCTAGTGCAGTACTGTGATGATACTTTTTTACTGGGCTTGATCATTCCATCTTTACAATCAGAAAAGTCTGTACTCTGCTATGCTGTGTCATCTGTTCTTTTTCTCATGCGGAATTTAAATGTATCCAAGATATTAAAAAACCTAATCAAATATCCTTTGTGTCCTTATTGCTTCTGTTTATACTTTCTACCCTTCCCCAAGACAATATATTTCTGAAGATCTCCCAACATTTTTTTGCGTGCCTGCACCATACCCTGAATATTTGATATATTTACGACCACCCCCTTTCTCTCTTCACCTGGATATTTGATTTGTATATTATTACAAGCACAGTTATTACAATCTGTAAAGCTTTACAAAATTGTGGCCTGTAAGAGCTTCAACTTGTGATGCTATCAATAGGTAAGTA